GCGTTGGCTCACCATGAACATGATTGACTGAAAAACTGACACCCGGCGCAATGTGAAAACTTCCACCGACTCTATTCACTTCCATGTAACCATAGATCTGACAGCCCTGTGTGAAGGCATGTTTGATTTTTTCCATGGAATTATCATTCTGACACTGTTTAACATCACTCGAATCCGGTGGCGCCCACTTCTTGCGTCTGTAAGCCTCCCACACATCCTCACATGTGTTGCAACATCTGCAAATCAAACAGAATATATAATAACATTTGAGCCTCAATTCTTCAATGGTGCAAGTAAGATTTTACTTCATTTCATCAGTAGCTGCACCGTAACAATCACCACAAAACTCTGTAGTGGAACCAATTTCTACTGCCTGTAAAAAAAATTTTATCTGATAATTAATTTGCAAATGGATATTCAATTAGAAGATAGAAATCCTGCGTTACCTTCTCAGTGGTCTTACTGACAGCCTTTGCATCCGTAATATCTGCAATAAAACTTCTTTTTATATGACAATTCTGACATTACACATACATATATATATATATATATATATATATATACATATATATATCAAGAGGAACATTAACTTGCTTACTTGTTCTCTGTGGATCTTCAATGGGTTTACCACTCAGATCTAACCGTCTTTTGAAAATATTGTGTTCTATATGCAAATGTTGTTCGCCTGTTGTGTCCATGGCATCTATCGATAAAACTGCAAAATACTGAAATGACAGAGACTATATCTCCTTCTCCCTCGCAAAAGTATCAGCACCAATTGTTGTACTTACGATCACAAGATATAGTTGGGACTATTATATCCAAGTTAATTCTCAGTTTAGAACCCCTGGATGTATCTACAAATAATTCCTCGCTCATAGTTGGTGTAAGATAATAGTTTACCTCTGACAAAAACAGTATGCCCATGATGATTGTACTAATGATTGTAACTGAAAAGGCATCATTTCATCATTTGCATTGGAATCGACGATTCTTATTAAAGTATGTTTAACTGCGTTAATTATCGTCAGTCAAAAATAAACAACCATTTCTACCAGACACCAAGAGAAAATTGTAAAAAGAGAAGAAGATAATACAAACTCAAGACATGTCAAATATTTCATGTATCAAATATCACATGTAAAATATTTCAATTCAATGGTATTATAATCGATAAAGCATTTTATTATTTTAACAGAACGGTTAACGCTCCCATCCTCGGAAAAGCATTCTGGGAGGTTAACCATTCGACTCGCTTCACTGCATCGCATCAATTAATTTAATTATTTCCATGGTGCGGAATGTAAGCGATGGTAAATGTCATTCGATCCTCGTGATGATTCTCCGGGGTTCTCGCTTTTGCCGGCGACGAGCGCACACGGACGATCGCCGCCGTCGATTGTCGCGACGGTACTCGATTTGTATTTACCGATGGCACCGCTAAAAGTCCTCACGAGGATATCGGCCTCCTCGCGTACTTTCGGATGTACATCCAACTGCCGTAGCATATGCATCTTCCCGGTGACGGCGTGAAAAACGATTCGCGATGATTCCTCGCGGCGGCACGATGTTTTCCCGCACGACACGTATGTATCATGACAAGTCGCCCTGCCACCTTGAAACGTGGCAGACGGTATGCTGCCATTGGCCGGTCGGCCGGTAGATCTCTCTCTTCCTTCGCTCCGGTTCTCCGCTCCTGCGCGCTCAGCATCAACCCGGCACCGAGCAAACGAGATGGACGTATTCTCGTCCGAGCGCGAACGTACGACTAAGGGAAACTGGCGTCGTATCTCGTTCTTCCATTTATTTATTTTCCAGCTAGCTCTAGTTATTTTCGCAATATTGATCGTGAAGATTAATAATGAAGTTTTTAATTTAAGTAAGATTAAAGTCAGAAATTTCAGAAAGGCGAAAAGTTACATTAATTGAAAAAAAAAATTGTAAGAAATATCTGAAGGCATTTATGATTCATTTATAGTTGTAAATATTTCCCGTGTTTTAAATAAATAAGATAATATATTTATAAAAGAGAGTAATTCCCCTGAGAGTTTTATTTTCATCTGTTTCAATTTTTACATGGATACTGATAAAATTTGATACATCATATCATTTGTATTAGAAAAAAAAAAAAGAAAAAGAAAACATATAATATACATGTATAAAATGCCTGTTTCTAGTTACATATTCTAAGTATAAATAAAAAAATAAGTCATATTTGTTGTTAGTAACATATGGTTCAATCAACATCCATTTTTAGCGGAGCATTAAAAAAGAAGAACTGAGGATAGGAATACTGAAATAATAATTCATTCGTTGTACGATTCTGATTCGTAACAAATGCTCGATAAACTTTATTCCACATCGTGCATCACGTTGCTCTTCGGGGCGACAGGTATGTATCTCGCGATTAAACATACTGATATTGGTTCACAGTCGTTACATACCCGTACAAAGCGACTCACAATAAATGTATAAATAGACCTCCGGAAGAGGTAGATTGATTTGAAAAAAAGTATGTGTATATGTAAGTATGTGTGGAGATGCGTATGTATTGTCCGTTGGACGTTAGAAAAGGCATTTGTTAGTTTTTAGTCCTCCTGTGAAAAACTTGAATGCAAGAGCGAAATCGCGTCGAGTCGACATAGTAGATCTTCGCGTCAACTCAATTGCAGGCTTGCGTTATTAAGGCACTTCCATGCCAGGAATATTACTTAGCGTGCACGAACAGCAAAATGAGACACGAAACAGAATTCGCGGGAAACATTGTGTAGATAAATGAAACGTACGTGCGTACGCGGTTATCGTTATACTAAATTAAAAGTATATTAAAATTAACTGGACGGCGGTCTAACACATCAATCGACCCGTTGCTAATGCAGTCGTTGTTAAGATTTGGCAGTAAAAAATGCAGCGTGCGATATGACTTTCTTCTTTTTATGTAAAAGAAAACCGTTTTTTGTTCTTCTGAAATTTGATTAGTGATCTCCATCATCGTCGCCATGCTGATTCGTCGAGGACGAGAAGAATTCAATATTCTGTGTATTACGATTTGACAGCAATGTACGAAACGAAGTTTTGTCGATGAGATTCCATATGCAAAACGGGTCGTTTGTAAATCTAACGAAACTAATAATAAACGCTACGCTACGTGTTTAATTATAAAACGACAATATGAGATTCTCGATCGCGTCCTTTGCGCGATGACGATCGATATCGCTTCACGCGGCATGAGATATTCGTAGCATTCTTTGTACTCTGATTACACGTGCCTTGCGTTTTCTTAATCGCGCAACAAACTGAGCCTGATTCCAAACATTCACTTCACATAACATGCGCGTAACATAATCTCAGTTTTTTGAATCTGACATAGGCAGTAATAAAAATTCCTTTCTTCATTCGCGCGTTCCTATATTTTCGCGGCTCTTAAGTCCTATATCGTAAGCTGCATTCGGGAACTAGAATTAATAGATCCAATTGACTGGCACCCATTGATGCTCCGTGGCTAAGGCATCCAGAGCTGCGACCACCTGCCTGAACGTATTATCAAAGTCCTCGTTCACTATCACCAGGTCGATATACTTTTCATAGGCTCTCTGCAATGCCGCGGACTCCTCCAACGTAGATTTCAGATCGTCCTCCTGGATAGATTAATTAGTCTCTCATTTTTAATACTTTATAAAGAATATACAAAACTTTTTTTAAAATGATGCCTAATATGATGATAGTCGACTTGTACTAAAAGTGACGTGAAATGTACTTTGAGATCACAAACATAGTTTGATTGCCTTCACTGCAGTCGCAAAAAAGGAAGTATTCGATTGCATTATCGAGGATGCATGCTTGAAAAAAAGTTGAAGTTTTCATGGCTCCCGTGACTAAGAATTCTAGTCTACAAACTAAAACGTAGGAATGCGGTACTAAAACACAATCAATTCTACAGCTATAAATTTTGCGACATTTCGAATGAAGAGTATCATGAATACGTGCTGCATAATGGTATAATAAAACAATATACATCATGCGATACAAACCTCATACAAAGATGCGAGGGATTCCAGTGTCCTGGCTCTTCTCGAGCTGTACCTGATGGAACTCTGGCGGTCGAACTAGCAAAGCCAATATCAAATTTATACAAGGAATTAACTGAACTGATAAAAATAAAATAAATGATAAAATAAATAAAGTTGTCGCATATAAATGACTAGCATCACATGAGATCGATAGGAGCTTTAAAGAGGGCATAAAAATTTCAGACGTAGGAGAGTAATTTTTACAAAAAGATAGGCGCAAGCTTTGAATAAGAATACCGTTAGATTTCGATTGCTAGCACCGGTCGATCTCCCGAGATCGTATAAGGATTTCAGCTGTTCCATCCCGGGCGCGGCGATGAATATGACGTAAGGCATGAATTCCGTGCTGTTGTGGAGGATCTTGAGCGCGGCTGGACTGCAGTCTAACACGCACATCTTGCCGGCTCTTATCAATTCCCGCACCGAATCCAGCTTCGTGCCATATAGATGTCCACCGTGTTCACCGTGCTCCAGAAATCTGTGCTCCCTGATATCGGTTTCCATGGTTTCGCGATCGGTGAACCAGTAGCTCTTGCCGTCCTCCTCGAGGACTCTAGGCGGTCTCGATGTGTCTGCGAAAAGATCACCGAGTATAATCCTCGGCAGTATCTACTCGCGTTGATTGCGGATTAATTGAGTGTTTCTTACAGGGTACGATAGTGCCGAATTTCTCGGGGTCACTGTTGATCAATCTGTTCTTCAGGGTCCGCCGACCCACGCCACGTGGTCCAACTAAGGCCAAGGTTTTGCGTCGAAACGGCGGCATTCGGGCGACCTCCTCGTAGAGAAGCAACTCGGCACCGTCGAACTCACCGTTCGACTTGGATTGGTACATCTTCCTCTTCTTTTTCTTGGATATTCTCGTGCCGCAGATGCTGATCTTGTGAACGAAGTCAGCCTCAGGCGGTACGAACGCCTTCCTGCGTTCTTCCAATTCCAGCGAGGGTATTAGCCCGGGTGATCCGAGGCTCTCGCCCTCCACTCTTCGCGCCTGCCACCAATTCGGATCGGCCTGGTCAACGATCTGGAGGATGTCGCCCTTCTGGAAGGGCAGACCAATCTCCCGACAGGGTAGAAGCGTATCTTCCGATGGATCATAATCGAAGAGGGCCCTCATGTAACACTGTCATGACAAAGCAAACAAAAGGCGACTTGATGAAATTGTCATGAATTTTTATTGCTTTGCGATTACGATGCCGAGGTCGCGTTTTTCGCGCTCGAACGAGCTTTGTAAGAAGGGAGAATAAGAATGCAGCTGTTACCAAAGGCATCGAGGTGGAAAAACAGCTCGTAACACTCACCGTGGACTTGAGGGGCCGGTTCGTGTCCGTGGCGACACCCGGAGCCAGTTTTAGGGATAAATTCTCCTTGGCATCCTGGATCGCCTGCTGCAACTCCTCGGGGTTTCGAACTCTTTTTCCGTTAACTTCGAGTATCACCTCGCCTGTCTTCAAAAGCTCCTGACGTGCCGCTGTGCTGCCACCGAGAATCCTGGCGATGATCATATTCCCGGATTCATCCACCTGCACCGTCAGACCCTGGAGAAATACCGACAAATAAATAAGTAAACAAACGCCTCGTTTTTGTCTAGCCACTGATTAATGGACGACGTCGCTTTCTCCAAACGATCAATAAAGCATCAAGCGGCGACGCAGAAAATTGCTAGTCATATTTCGACGCGTCAGAGTATCTTAAAGAAGCGTGTAGTACCAGAAAATCGTCGAAACACGTGGCATGCCGGAAAAATAAACATTCGCACTTATTTGCACGAACTGCAAGTGGCATCTTCGTCTTTTCTTTAGGCGCAAATCTGGCGAGCTAACTCGCGAATTGGAAGTTTCTCTCATGATAAAACTTTTCAGTGTGAATAGTTTCAAACCGCAACGACCGAACATTTTTCTCATTATACATTTATTTTCATATCGAAAGATATGGGAAAAGAATCTTTGAATGAACATGAAACGAAACTAAAATTAACCAACTTTTTTTCCAAATATTAAGTTAACACACTCTTCGTTTATTTTGATAAAAGTTAAGGTGTATCATTTATATTCCTGGACTTACCAGAGGTTCATCAGGTTGCCTCCTGAGGCCGACCACCCTGATAGGCATTTCCTCCTTCTTGTTCGTCGGCATTGTTAGCGCGGGCGGATCGGGCGGTTTGGAAGGCGCTTCTCTGCGTTCCACGACCGCGTCGTGCGTCTCCAGGAGCGCTCGCAGATGCGCGTTGCCGAGAAGATTCACCAGCTCCCTGGCGTGCGAGTTCCTGGAGGACCGGAAAGCGTGGCACACCTCGTCGACGATATCACAGACGGACGAGCATACCGGCTCCACGGGCACCGGCGGGTCCTCGAGACGCTCCTGCACCTGCCAGAGAGGAAGAGAGAAATCTTCAAATCAGGACCTATTAAAAACTGGTTTCTCACGAGCCTTAGGAGGATATTTTGATTCTCTCTTGTAACTCTTTCTCATCAGCGTAGTACATTTTTGGTATTAATTTTTAATCGTGATAATTCTTCTTTCACATTCTTACGTTACGTTGATTAATTCTTTTCTGATTTTATTTTTGTTTAATCTACGAAAACATAAGAATTTAATTTACAATATACATTAAAAAATATCATAGAAATTAATATTATATTTAATTTTACTACGTGTTTTAGAAGTCTGTTAGATTTAAATTTTTATTCGACTATATAGCCCTTTTTATTTTTTTGGAATAAAATAAATTTTGCACTTTCTAGAAAAAATATTTTTAAAAAATAGCTCAAGAGATCAAACGCTGAGATATAACTGAGATATAACTTATTTAACTAATTTGCGATATCGTTTAAAGCATGCAAGCGGTGTCTCTTTGTGTTACGGTATTTATATTTATTTAGGTAGATAAAGCGGTGGCTTTCTTGTGCCAATCATGAAAGTCAGAACAGGTTTTACATTAAATTCACCACGCTACAATATGCGGAACCTCGGTTTACCTCTTTCTTGTCGGTCAAAAAGAGAAAACTACATGTTGTTAAATCAACAAATTTCTTCAAATGCAACTTGCCCATTTTCTTGCAATAATGCAGACTAAGTAAGCTTAACTTTATATGACTTCTTTTCCACACATTCAAGATATTCATGTTAAAATCTTCATCTGCAAAAAACCGAGCAAATTAACTTTGAAAAGAGGATTTTTGAAAGATTTTTAAATATATAATAATTGAAATGGATTATAAATATTACGCGATATTTATAAATTCTTAGACGCGATCGAAAAAATTTCATTATTAATGCATTGTTAATGATCAATGTTATGCAATGACACGGCGCCGGCGGCGTTCAATTGGATTAAAGTTAATCTAATCGACACGAAAGACATTTAGCCCTACTCTACTTGAAGCGGCTTACAATGAACGAATAATTAGAAAAGTAGGTCATTCGATGACGCGTTCGAGACGGCGCATTTCCCAATATCCAAACAAATTTAATGAACCGACACAGATTTATTGTGATTTTTTTCATCACTTCTTTAACATATGGAAAGATTTAAGAAGAGTCGAAAAATTTGAGAGAATGTAACATTTGAATCTTACAACACTTTTCCATAAAAATTGCGATTGTAACAAAAATAATAAAAAAGTTACGATTCACGCAGAATTATTACGCTAATGATGATGATAATAATGATGATGATGATGATGATGATGATGATGATGATGATGATGATGATAATGATGATGATGATGATGATGATGATGATGATGATGATACTGATAGATACAAAAATAGACGTAGAATATTCGACGCAGAAATCACTCTATGATTATCGCGCACGATACACGGACAAATGTGGGTTGTCGTCGATGATGATTCACCGTCGAATTATTTTCCTCTCGAGAATCGCGAGCTCCGGTGCAGTCATTACGCACGCACGCTTTGTCGATCAGACGAGAATTTCCTCATCGTACGTGCTCTCGCGAGGCGCTCTTGCGAAATCGGCGTTGCGAGCAATTTCTCCCAGATGATTAACGACCGACCGGAAACGCGCGAGGATCGCGACGTTTCCACGCGCCGCGAGAGTTTTTCGAGGCTTTCAAGCTTCCTCCAGTGTTTGTTCCAGCTTGTTTGCTCAGCACGCGGGCCTCCCACGTGCACGCGAGGTTCAAACGCGAACATCGGTAAATCGACGTCCGTCGCGCGAGATTTATCGGCGCACTTCGTCGCGGATCATTCATCAAGCCGCGTGGCCGCGATCCTCCGCGTTTACTCCGAACGGTCCCGCACCCGAGTAACTGTGTCCGATTGCGTCAGGACGAACGCGAGATCATGCCGTGGCCTGGGATCGGAGGCACACTTTGCGAGACGAATCACATGCCGCACTTGTTTATGGACTATAAAACCGCGGCATTTATTTATCCGCGGAGCGGATAAATCCTTTGCGAGACGAATCGCTCGAGACTCGTTTCTCCCCCTCGACGGGGAGAACGAAGCGCTTTCGCGATCTGGCGAAATGATCTCCGCGAGAAGAAAAAGAAGAGAGAGTAACGGCCGCGTGCCGCGCGGCGAGAACGATCGACGAAGTCGCGACAAGGCGAGCGAGTCCCGTCGCGTTCTCCTTTAAATATCATCAGGCGAGTCGACTCTCGCCACTCAGCTCGAATGGAGCGTCCACATTTTCTCCCGTCCTTTCTACCCCTTTCTCCCCATCTTTCTACCCCTAGATTTATCCTGGCTTGCTAACAATTGATACAATCGAGCCCTATCATATCAATTCCTCGATTACCCCATTATTACACCGCACACCCGAACCCTACCCCGATTGCGTCACTTAACGGGACCTTCGCGTTTCTTCAGTCGCACCTCTCTGCAAGCGGCTCTACGCGTCCATTCGCCGCCGCGGAGTTACGCAAAGCTGCGGCAATTCCGTAAAATTCTTTGGCGAACTTTTTTTCTCTTTCGCCTCTCGTGTTCCGTATTTTTCCCGCGTTCCTCGGGCGAGCGACGCGTCTCACCTGGAGAGAGAGAGAGAGAGAGAGAGAGTCGCGACGCGCTGCTCCGTGCGGACTGGTGAAGCTAAAGCAGCTCTAACTGGTCGTGTCGGTGCCCCCGTGGCGGTATCGATCGGCGAGGGAGAGTCTGGCTCTCTCGGACGAAGGGAAAACCAGATCTGTGTCTCGCAACGGGGCGGGTAAAAGCTGTGTCACGCAGGATGCGGAGACGGCGGCGAGGGTTGGTGCTCCGCGCGGGTTTCGCGTTATCGTCGCGCGACACTTCTCGTCCGGGATGTAAACGGCGACTCTGAAAACTGCCGCGCCTACTGACGTCGGCCTGGCCGATCTCCCTCCGCGTAGGCAGGCCGTTCAGGCGAGTCGCCTGCCATTCTGAAACAGGTGGGGGCCCTTCCTTCTCCTGGCATGCAACACTCCGCTACGTTCGCTTCAGGAGCGTAGCTCGTCCATCCGGGGACCACCCGTTTCAAGGTCGTCGTAAAGAAACGTAATAGTAGTAGTAGTAATAGCGGTGCACGCCTCTGTAGACCTCGTGACTCCACTTCCCTTGGAGAGTACGCCTCGCGTACTCTTCATTGATTTTATCATTCACTAAGCAGCCAGGTCTACCTCGAACCAGCTGAGAAATATGGCAGCAGCGAGGCACGTTAATTCATTAACTTGGCATAATTTTATAGATCTTCAAAGATTCTGATTTAAAACCAAATCGGTGAACGAGGCAGGAACCTATTAGGCATTAAAAGTGCACCGTGAGACCAATGGCATCTCTCTCTCTTTCTTTAATAATAAAGATAAAGAAACGATAAAGAAACAAGCAAGAAATGAATATGAAACGTCCGCATATCTACGACTTTCAATTTAGAAAACATCGTTGACACAAGTGAGCCATTTCGTTGTCACGTTTACAAGTCTTTACAAGTCTTTCTCGTTTATTGAAGGATAACAGCAACCGAGACAAGACAAGAGATATCGATGTGCCTTTTTCGGAATTATCTAGCGCCTCTTGAAAGTATCGTGGGACTGGTTGAAGCTCAATACAACTTCGTCGCAGCGTCGTACCAGTCACACTTGTTTCAATTGTTTGCTTTGTCAATGAAAAATACAGGTATTCAGGAAAGATCCTATTTGGTACGAACTAAACACTCGAATTTCTAAGGCAAATTGCGATATTTTTCACCAAGCCGTGACGATGTTTCAGTTCTAAAGACAAATCGCTTCTTTTGTCGCTGTTATGCAGAAACTGCATAATCATTTAACGGTCGATTGTGAGGACACTTGATCGCTCCATTATTAATACATAAATGTGTCATTGTGTTTTGAAGACTCGGATTATACGGAGTCAAGTTACAAATAATGTCACGTTACGCGTCGAGTGACGTAACGCGTCCAGCTCAACTCGATCAGCGATCAGCGAAATCGGTATTCGCTGTTGTTTTTTTATTGACGCAACCAGAGGAGGGGCTATCCTCCGTCGAAATGACTCTGTTGCGTAAACGAGTTAGCGGATTCGGTTTTACGCGGGACATTCACTCCAGGTAATATGCGAGATAAAAGAAAATGTATGCGCGCGTCCGATAAGAGCCACAATCGAGTTCAGCGTACAGTCCTGTCGCTCACACACACACACACACACACACACACACGCGCGCGCGCGCGCGCGCGCGCGGGTCGGGACGCATACCGCGTGCATGTGTACGTGTCTCTCCCACTTCCTCTTGTACGATCACAAAGCCGACTCACCGACTGAAATTACATATCGTCTCGTCGTACACGCTACAGGCTTACAAAACACGTTAACGTCGCGGACACGCACGCGCTCGCGCCTGGATTTCTGCGACGAGTCACGAGCGATGACTCCATGGCGGCGCCTATGACCTACGCCTAATCAAGAGGTCGTGCTCAATTATCCGTAATTATTATCCATGCGAGAAAGAAAGCAATTTCGCCAATTAAGCGACCGTAAATCTCAATCCTCCTCCCTCGCGTCCCGTGGCCACTCGGCTCCTGGATTATGATTTTCCCTTCAGCACGGACGCTCATCCAGCCGGGA